ACTAAAAGGCTTTAGTCATCAACTATTTTGATGTATAAAACCTATTTTTAATTATTTAATAATTTATTATAAAATCTAGAAATTTCACATAAACTAATTTCAAAACAAGAAATTTAATAAAATGATAGCGTCATTTATTTAAAAAAAAATTTAAAAAATTAAATAGACTATTTATTCATAAATGTAATTAGTCATAAACCAATTATTATTATTATTGTTGTTGTTGTTATTCTGACTAAAAGGCTTTAGTCATCAACTATTTTGATGCATAATACCTATTTTTAATATTTAATAATTTATTATAAAATCTAGAAATTTCACATAAACTAATTTCAAAACATGAAATTTAATAAAATGATAGCGTCATTTTTTTGAAAAAAATAAAAATAAATTTAAATAGAATATTTAGTCATAAATGTAATTAGTCATAAACCAATTATTATTGTTGCTGTTATCATTCTGAAATATTTATTATTGAAATAAACTCCAACATGGGCGGTCCCAAACTAGTCATCCTGGTCCCAAGCCTGGAGAAAGGAGGAGGGTTGTAGGGTAGATATCCAGCATAAAACTTTGCCACATCTTTTCATGAATCCTGAATGAATGGCGCAACATAATTTGTGAGCCAACCTCAAATAGTTGGGATAAGGCTCGGATGGTGATAATGATTTATTATTCAAACAGTGATCATTTAAAATATGTACTTAAATAAATATTTATTATGAATTAATATTATGCATTTTATAATATTTCTAAAATCTCTCAAAATACATTGATTTTCTTTATCCTATCCTAGAATGTCTCTATCCAAAAAGGATGGGATTTGCTTTTTTCTGAAAAATAGAAAGGCACCATAAATCATGCCCTAAACTTCTCTATTTACAGGTCTCATGCTCTATATCCTCTTTAAAGATAGGTTCCCTGTCTCTTCTTGCGGCATATAATGTAGTATAGATAATGCTGATACATGTATAGATAATGTAGTATAGATAATGCTGATACATGTATAGATAATGTAGTATAGATAATGCTGATACATGTATAGATAATGTAGTATAGATAATGCTGATACATATATAGATAATGTAGTATAGATAATGCTGATACATGTATAACTATCAAAAGTAATAATTTATTTTGTTTTTCCTTTATTGACACTTGCACAAAATAAAATATTATTGGTGCAGTAAAGTCTAGAAAATTAAATATCAGTTGAATGATGAGATATGAAATATACCTGTTGAGATGTTCCTTGGGAATCGAAGGCAGGACCTCATTTGCCCGTTCCAGGTCTCCACGTATGACAAGCGTCTTATATTCAATAAGACTCAGAAGCAAAGTGTAGCCCATAACACTTCATGCAAAATTAATCAGAATCATTAATCAAGCTTGAAAAAGTAGAATAGATATATAACCTAGACTCAAACCCCACTCACTTGAATTCTTTGTCAATAAGATACACCCTGCTCTGACTTGCAAGATAACCTAATAAGTACATGGGCCGGTCCAAGTGAAACATTGTAGTTACCTACATCAGTTATTCGATCCATACAGTTTCCAGTGAGAAAATTTTAAGGATATAACTTTAAAAATAAAAATAAAAAAGAGAGAGAAAAATTCAAGCACATATCATTCAAAGACACCTAGAAGATATATCCTACTAACTGTTTTTTAGAAGTTCTTGACATCAATGCCATTTAAAAACAAGAAAGAAAAATGAATGTAAGACGGAGATGAGAACACAAAATTACCTCACCACCAACACAGTAATTCAACCGCCAAGATGAATTATTATAGATAAAACAATCTCCGACCCAAATCCCAGTCCTGACCCGCTCATTTGTTTCATGAAGAAGTTCAAACGCATCCTGAACACCCTGCTCATCAACTGGTCGTCCACTATCTAAATGTGATGAAACAGCATCCCTCTGTAAATGCCAAAAGCATTCCATTCAGTTCTAAGTAGATCAACTATTCCCACGTAATGTTTTTTCTTAATTTTTTTGGGTTGTTTTTTCTTATTTTTCGAGATAAAAATGTATGCCTCGTTGTTTTAAAATGTAAGTCATAGATTGTGAAGAATGATAAATTGAAAGGCTATAGACAAGTCTTGAGGAGTTGGTGTGGGTCCATATTCTTACATTGTACTTCAGGATGTAGAATGAAATATCACTTGCAATGCAAACAAGATCACCACTATCAGCCCAATAGACATTCTGGATCACAACGAGAGCGTGGATTAGAGAGACCATAATTGTGGCTTAATAAAAAAGAAAAATCAAGTAATACTCAGCGGACTACAGAAAAACCCTAGTCCAGTAGGTAATCATCAGCCACTTTGTGAGGGACAGTGATGTACAGAGTGAGGTCCACCAATACAGGAAATGACCCCAGCCGTAGAATCCACTTCATATCCATTTCCATTCATTTTATTGGATGGTGATGATCCAGTGGACCATGGTTTTACCAGAGTCCATTTGAAGAAGCAATAAGCAGCCAAGAGAGAGAGAAACACCATACAATTTCTAAGAAGGAATTTATATAATTCACCTTTACATTAACATCAATACGTCTGATCAGCCTACATTCAGCCCAATCATAAAAGCAGATGAAATCATTCGAACACATAGACAGCAAGGTTCCACCAAAAATACGCTCAGCAGAAAATGCAGGTCTTATACTTTTCTTCTCCTGCAACACATCATATACTGTGAAATGTTAACACTTCACAGTTTACAAAGTCAAAACATCCTTAACAGCATATGGCTTATATTTTCCTGCATTATTGTTTGAATAAAAATAATAATTAATAAAACATCCTTAACAGCATACAACTTATATTTCCCTGCATTATTGTTTGCATAAAAATAGCCATTTTACTAGTGAAGCAATGGACAAGATCCAGAATTCCAGTTGAAACTTATTATTCATAAAATGGTTGTACGCAAGCCTAAAGAGGATGCAACTACCAATTTAGAGATATGGAAACAGGGAAAAGATTTTGTTCTGAGAAGACAACATGCCAGAAAGGTAGCCTGCACTCAACTATGTCATCAAAGTAGAAAAAAAAATCCTTTTCGCATCAGGTGGGTTTGAACTCAAAACCTCATATTGTTGGAATATAATTGAATTAAACTTGAAGCACGGCTCAAAAAATAGGTATAACAGAATGGATCAAGACTGGTCCATTTTCTTTTTACAATGGTAATGACCAGTTGTTAGAGGGGCTTACTTTTTGATGTCGGAAAAAACAACAGCAAATAGATAATACGTGAATGGCACTCGATGTTCTTCTTTTCTACGTTCTAAAACGAACAGGATGGTACATAATTTATTATTTCAAGCGTTATTAATTTCCTTTGTGCATCTAACCTGAAAGCAGACTTCTCAACTTAAGACGAGCATAAAGGAAAAAGAAACCAAGGTACTCAACGTATCGGAAAATGGAAAGAAATTTCCAGCAAACACAGAACCCCAAATAAATGCAGTCCAAAAGAGAGCCTCAAATCAATTTAGTTCATCAAACAGATGAGAGAATCATATTAGAGTAGAACCAAGCTTGTTCATGAGAAAAATGCCAACAGGTAATAAGGGGTTCATATGCCCAAACATTGACGAAAAATAATACTTCGAAAACTATCAAAGACCTAAAGGATTTGACTACTAAAATATTCCAAATGGAATTTAAAAGATAACGATAAATACAGAACTTGTTGATCATGCTATGATCCAAATATTTGAGAATGTTAAGTTGCTCCACATGAAACCTGAAAGAATGCAGCACACAGCCCCTCTTTTGAGGAAGTCCTATTTAAAAGGTACAGGTGAGAGAAATCTCAACCTGGAAGTTCTTGCTGAAGATCTTTACTCTTGAAGTGCTTTCTCTAACCGCACATTCTCCATCTGAAGACCATGCAAATTCCAAGGCAGATCCAAAAGATCTGTTTCTCCATGCTAGAGCTGTATAAATGATGTACTCTCCATCCCCGCAGACAACAACAAACCTCCCATTAGGGTTGTGCTTCAAACTCTGGAAACATAACAAATAAATAAGAGTCCAAAAGCGAATTAACACTCACAGTTAAAGAGTGTGCTGTGATTAGAATTCAACGAAAATTAATAACCAACAAAACCCAAGCCAAAAAGCAGCCATACTTCAGATGGATAAGAGAATGTAAATTGAAGAAATAGCTGCAGCAATGATCCCCTAAGGGATAGAACTCATATACCTCATCAAAAGCAACTGATAGTATCTTCCTATGATGGAAATTGGGAAAAAATTATCATGCACACAAATATTTATGCATAAATGGCAAGCATACAAATGCATGCACATACAGACAAATAGATACAGAAGTGCCTCAAAGAGATGAACACCTACTTGAGGATAGAGATCACAGCTTCCCAACTCCTTCACAGCAAGAGGTAGTCTTTCACCATCCGTAACCTGAGACATGGAATCCATTAATAATTAATAGGTCAACATGATCGGGAGAATGCATTTTCACTTTTTTTCTGGAAAAAGGGCACTTCACTTTCAATAAGTCATTACATACATATACAAGTCATATTGTAGCCAAGAAGAGTAGAAACCTCAAAATCAGCTGGCACAGACTTAATATTCACAGTTTGGATTTCATTATGCTTTGCCCAAATGACTTTGCCACTGCTATCCATGCTAGCAACTGGCTCTTCTCTCCCAATTTTTATCATAATGGTGCCTTCATCATATCCAATGACGACTCTGTTAAGAAACCAATAATACAATTTTTAATATACTTTGTTAATGAATCGAGAAAAGGGTAAGGTAATACTTCGCTATAAACAATTTGCTTTTCCAATTTATTCATCCAGCGAACAGTATGAATAATAAAAGAAAGCAATGCCATATACTAAATCCACCTAATAGTAAAGGAAAATAGAAGAAGGCAACCATGCAATGAAGAATGGTTGAAATCAAGGCATACAAATCCTACAGAAAGAGTAACAAACAAGAATCTGTACTCAAACGTAGAACCACAAGAAGAAGAATCCAGCTGATGCCTACCTATTGGAACCTTTCAAATATCCAACTGCCCAGACTCTTTCTAGACCATAATTCAATGTGTTCTCGAGCCTGTGGCAATTCCAGTCATTAAATACATCAGAGCAGTGGTGAAGATATAAAATATAGAAGAGATAATGTGCGTCTCAAAGAAGATGTTGCTTCAATTTTTTTATTTTTTTAATACGTTTCATATGATTGATTTTTTAAAGGAAAAATTCAGAAATACCTGTAAGTGGTTGAATGCCAAATGCGGACAGTCCCATCCTCAGAGCCTGTAATGATTATGGGAAGCTCAGGATGAAAACAAACAGCAGAGACATTGTGTGTATGTCCCTCCAGAGTCTGAACACAACTTTTCGTTTGATAGTCCCACACCTGCCCCCATGAAAATATAAAATCACTTGCTAAGTTCCCCAATTGAGAGACCATTTTTTCTCAAAGGGAAATATGCTTAAAAATTCATAATTCAATGGGTTTGTCGTGATGGGAAAATGGTGGAGCTCTGGAACCGGAAAAACGACAACCCAAATGGTCGATCTCACTCTTTTCATCACCATCGATCATTTCAAGGAGCCACAATGACCAAATGAACTATGGTTTTTTCCCGTAGTCCACAGGATTAAAATATGCTGCCCAGTTTCAAAAAGACAAGGATTAGGAGCACACCTTAGCAGTATGATCATCAGATCCTGTGATTAGGTATGGCCTATCACCTCCTGTGAAGTAATCGACACAATTTACCCCTTTCAAGTGTGCATCCAATGTGAAATTTGGATCTGGCGAACCCAGATTCCATATCTGGAATATAAAACATACAAGAGTATATCAAGAGTGGCTTACAAATGAGAATAAAAGAGCACTTAACATATTACTAAAAAAGGAGCCCACGGCTTGCGAAAAGCTAAGAAGCAACTGGAGTCAAACCTTTATACTACGATCCAGTGAAGCACTTGCAAAAGTATTTGTATCTTTTGGGTTAAAGGTGACTTGCATCACATAATGTGAATGCCCTTCAAAGATCTGAGTACATATCCAACCCTTTTCCCAGTCCCAAAGCTTGATAAGCATATCATCTGATGATGATAACACATACGGTAGTGTTGGGTGGACAGCGACACACCTGATGTAGTCTGTGTGTGCTTCAAACACTTTAACCTTATCCATAGTGTTATAGTTGTACACACGAATAATCATGTCATCAGCTCCAGCAACGATCCACTGTTTGCGAGCTATGAATTTTGCCGATCGCACTGCAAAACAAAAAATAAAAAGTTTGGTTTGGTAAGTACTATCTGTTCAAAGGACCAAGTCCAACAATAAGGCAGGAAAATGCATAGAGGATACCTGGTAATTCTGTAACCTCGAATGACTTTGCCATTGTCTGCAATATAATCATGAATTAATCATTCAATTAGAATTTTGTACTATTATAAGATGACAGTACCGGTTTGAACTTTAAAAAGACCAAAGAACTTTTTTAACCATTGACAGAGAAAGAGAGCAAAGAAATATCACACAAGAACAAAGACAAATCATATTAGATAACCCAGAAGCATTATCGTTACATATACATGAGAACATTTACTGCCACTTGAGTAGCACGTGATCACTATGGAATAGTCTAGAGAAATCTAGAGAAACTTCTTTTTTCTTAAAAACGATCTAGAGAAATGCAAAGCATAGGAAGGATATAGCAATCCTATGATTTGACAAGTGATTTGAAGAATGTAACCTCAAACTGCCCTAACATACAAGGTGCCAGCTTCAACTTAGGTGGCTACCAACTTCATACAAGGCTCTCCCAGGAGGACTACCTTCAGCATTGGGAATACGAATTCTAAATGTTGCTTTTATGTGAAGATGAGCTAATCACTTGATTGTCTTCTGGTTCTATGCTCATTTGACAAGGCATTTGGAACTTTAACCTCAACCAGCTTATCATGTTATGAGGTGTGATTCCTTCACAAATAATGAACTCCTAAAAGCCTAAAACAGTTGGAAATCACACCCTTCTCATCCGAAATGCCTCACCTCATTGAAGCTTTTGTCAATTGATTAGATCCAAACAAGTGGAATTTGAGAGTTGCCACTATAGAGGAGACTTAGAGAGTCAGTTTGGGACAGTAATAGACATTTGGAGAGTGCCTCATGGCAATGGTTATTGAGCAGTTCCGTGGTATGGGTGCTCTGGACCTGATCTGCAGTTGAGAGATGATGAGTTTAGACCCTGTCTTAAGTGGTTCCTTAAAAATTAAACTTCGATGGCAGCTCTCACGAGCCTAGGTCCCTTTCAGTGCCTTCTTTTAGGAATCCATCAAGCAGAGGTGCCTTCTCAGGACTTTTAGGGATGGGGAACACAACGATATCTAAGTGCCTTTCCGATGCCCAAGTCCTAAGAGCCTAGATCCTATGACAGCTAGAATTTTTATTTCTCTATACGCTACACTTAGATGGCAGCTTCAGGTCCCCTTCAGATGCCTTCAGTACCAGCTGGGGAGGCATAGTGAGCCTTATCTAGATCTTTAGGGACGGTGAACACTAATGACAGGTGCACTAAGCCCTTGCTCATCAGCCTTCACATTATTAGCCAGTCTCTTGATGCTCCTCTCATATGGAAGGTGATTCTCCAAATGTAATTCAAATTTGGAAAAAAATTACCTTGCCTATGGATCTGTGCAGTTACGATCGGTGTTGAAGAATTGGGCGAGTCCACCGAGATTTGCCAAAGTCACCCGTGCTGAGGCCGGAAAGATACACCTGGGAACCAGCCGAGTCTGGCTGCTTCACATTATTTATTGTTTCTTTAGTTGGACTTGGCTGAGTCTCCAACAGACTCGGAGACTCAACCCAGTACCATCAGACCTGCCTCAGGCTCGGGACCCTAGAGAAATTGACGTGAGTCCATGTTTCCTAACAATGGTTATGATATAGGAAATTTAAGAAATCAACAGATAGCGGCCTGCATCCTTCCAGCAGCTCATCAGAATAACCAACTCAGAAGCTCATGCACTTACCAGGAGGGGTATTGGCCAAAATTCCTATTTGTGCAAGGAGACATACATTTTTTCTATTCCAATATCTGTATGACCCTATTATAGATTTTCGATACGTAAGCAACTTGTTGGTGCAACTAGATGTACAAACGTTTTTACTTGTCTGCCTGTAATACCTCGTATAGCAATGAGGTATCAACCTCTAAAACTTTGCCAATTTCCTACTAAATTCCCAGAACACATAACTGTCCCACCTATCACAATACTACTAACATTGAACACCCAACCCAAGAGAGTGTCATCCCAAGGCTCAAAACATGTCTTCCATTATTTCAAAATTTCAATATTATGGGGCCAGGTCCGGTAACTTCCACACAAAATAGCAAATGAAGAATTAGACCCATTATTTTTTTTTAACAGGTTAACTTTGTATTAAAAACTCAAAAGCATTGTACAAAAAATACCCCCTCGAACAGGGCAGGACACCCACTATAAGTGGGATATACAAAGTTAGGTACAAAAATAGCCCCCTTGAATGGGGCAGAACACCCTCTCAAGTTCGGATGTTCACAGATAAGTACATAGGAATTAAAGAAGTGGTACAATACAACAATGGAGCTAGCAGAAAAGGGAACCCCTAGCTCAAAAATCGGTTGCGGCGGGGATGTTCACAGACTCCTTCCCTGGCTAGGGCATCGGCAACAGCATTGGCTTCGAACCAAGTGTGCTTCCACAAGACATGCAGGTCCCTGCAGATATGAGCAATTTCATTGAAGTACTGGGCCAGTATCCATGGGTAGAGAGTTTTCCCAGATGCCCAAGCAATGACACTTTTGGAGTCTCCCTCGACAACGAGCGAAGAACAGCAACTGGAATTGAAGTTCCTGAGACCCTCTAGGAGGGCAAGAGTCTCGGCTGTGTTGGAATTAGCAGCACGAGTAGATTTGGAGAAGGAGAAGAAGGTCTGTCCATTATGGTCCTGGTAGATTCCCCCTATCCTTGCTGGACCCGGTTGCCAAGCAAGCAACCGTCAAAATTCAGTTTTATGTGCCCAGGCACCGGAGGCAACCAAAGGGAGGCCCGAGGGATTCAGGTAGGCTGGAAAATCAGCAAATTCTCCCAGTTCTGAATGGAACTCCATGATGGGACAATGCTTGAATAGGGCAATGTTTTTGGCCCAAAAAATGGTCGGGCCTTTCACTCGAGACTTAAGGGCTTCGGGTGGGTGACGTCCCCCCTAAAAATACGATAAATGCGCTTTGTCCAGATGACCCAAAGAAGGGCCACAACGGACACTTTCCACATACGGATCCCTGATTTGGCCCAAGGGAGAGGCAATAGGGAAGTGACGAAACAAGGGATGGACCTGGGAGTAACCCAATTCCAATTGAATAACTGAAGGAGGTCCTCCCAAAGGTCCCCAGCCACTCTGCAGTGGATAAGCAGATGTTCATTGGTCTCTTCAGCCACATTACACATTGAGCAACAGCTCGCTAATGACATGCCCCTTCTTTGGAGCTGGTCCACGGTAAGGGTTCTTTTGGCTATCAGGATCCAACTAAAGAACTGAATTTTAAGGGAGGCTAAGGAAGACCAAGCTTTGGAGGTAACTGGAGGGATAGGGGTCAGGGGGTTAGAAGCAAGGAGGAGCTGATTATAGAAAGAGGAAACCAAGAACAGGTCCGAGGAAGCAGAAGCCCGGATGAGCTTATCCTCCCCTTGGTGTGGAAGAAAGACATAGTGGAGTAGGCAGGCCAGGGCTAGGAAGTTCTCGATTTCATGGTCACTATTCAAGAAGGCCTCTCCGAGAGTCGGGGTTCCATACTCTGGAAGAGTCCAGGAGGATGAACTGGGAGGCCACAGATGCCTCGCCATCTCGAGCAATGAGGACAAGGTTGGGGAAGAGATCTTTGAGAGGAGTATGAATTAGACCCATTATTATCACTTGAGTCATAGAGTATTTTGAGAAAAACCCCAAATTCGAAATGCTTTGACAAGAAATGAACAATGGTTCTCTATGGCCCATCCCCATCAGAAGATTTGTGCTCCGATTTCTAGACACCAATGCATAGACGAAGAATATCTTAGAGCTTTCCCGTACAAATTTCCTAATCAATAATACTTTGAGAAACGATATCCAAATTATGCAAACCTACTTTGAGAAACGGTATCCAAACAGACAAAGTTCCTCTACTTCTATTTAACCATCTATAGAAAACTGCAGCATCCTATTCTTTGTGCTTCCCTTTTATTTTTTTGGATTTATTTCACAATCTATTCAACCTTTTTTTTTTATCTGATATGTAAGGTGGGTTTGAACCCACTACCTAAAGGTTGCAAGAATAAGCACCTTCAAATTAAGTGGGGTTAGAAACCTTTCTGTCTTTTCAACCACACAGCTCTTTATCAAGCCAACCTACTGCATATATCCATAGAAATTTCTTCGCTCCCACTTCCATTGAGTCGAAGATACTATGGACATGTTGGAAACTTTCTTACCCTTCTGTCCAGCTTGGCTTTACCAGCAGAATCTCCCTTCCCGTGAAACAGCACCACCCTCTTGCATCTTCACCTTTCTGCACACAGAACTATCTTCCTGGCCTTGGAGGATGACATAAAGTTCAAAGCCACTAAATGCATTGCCCGTTGCATTATGTTTCTACGGATGCCCATATTTTTATCTCTATATTTTGTTGACATGCTCCTTGTGAAAAAAAAGTGTGCAGATTTTATGTTAAGATGTATAGAAGGTGCATTTTATTTCGTTTCAGGTCTCAAAACCAGTTTCTAAGAATAACATGTTATGCTTTCATATTTCGTTTCAGTATTCTGTAATTTGATCAATTTCTTAAGATACATTATGAAGCTCAAAATCATCGACTTACCAGTTGCGTTGACTTTTGATAACCACAACTGTTTGGTATGGATTTAAGGAATGGACAAATTCATTCTAGTGTATGTGGACGGTGATTTCAAAAGGAAAGCTGCATCCACTCTTTCGAGTCACAGGAGAGTCAAGATCTATGAAAATATAAAAGGTTAAGTCTAAATGTTATCCATGAATATATTTCTGGCTTCTGGTCACATCAATAATCTTCCTGATCCTATGTTCCAAATTCCAAGATGGAACTGATGATGATCTGTTATTTGGGAAAAACAAGATGATCTAGAACGCATCATATCTTTCAAAGTAGGAGAGAGAGAGATAGAGAGAGAGAGAGAGTAAGAAGAAGAAGAAGAAGAAGGAACCCCATACGGAAAAACTTTAGTTCAAGTAAAAATGAATTTACAAAAACAGACAAAGCCAAATGAAAAGGAAATTTCGGCAGGAAACCTCGTTGAAGATTTGATATAGGTTCATTACAACCACAAGCCTAAAAGTCATAATCACGCAGCACATGCAGTAAAATTGAAAAATGCATTCTGTAAAGCAAAACGGACAGAATTGACAAAAAGTACAAAATATAATTCCCATGCCTGAGACTGGTAGTTCCAGATGCACACGCTTCCAGAATAGAGACTCGCAAGAATCCTGCAAAAAGGAACCTCAGCAATTTAGCAAAGGAAAAAGTGGATATGCACAATCAAAATACAAGGAACAATATAACATTCTTAAACAAGAGAAGACACTGTCATACATCTCACCGGATGAATTATATCCAACAAGGTGGGTACAATGAGAAAGGAAAAGGAAAATATGTGCCACATGCAGACACCCAAAAGAACAAAAAAATAATAATACATATATTCCAAAATAAGATATGACATCATAGAGCTGACAAACACATATCCTCATAATGGTTCTGAAGTGATAAGAAAAAGGCATTGGCACCAAGAATGCAATAAGTTAATATCATATTTATATTTGCTTTGCTGCTCTTGAAAGGAAGGCCAGAATTTTAGACAATGAAACAAGGGTCAGACTTAATAAATGATTAAATGGTCAACCTGTGGTTGTGATCACCCGGAGTTTATGACTTTCAAGAGACACTGGCTTTTGGGCTGATGTCATGCCACATGTGCCCAATCAAAGATTACACCATAGGTGGGAAGTAGGTCTCACATGAACTATGTTCTATAGCATCTGTTCAAATAGATTTCATAAGGAAAACTTGTCAGGACTTAATCCATTCAAAATGGTTACCTGAAAAAATGGTTCCGTGAAATGCTTCTGCGGTTCCTCCAAAAATGTCTAACCTAATGGACCAGTCCTGAGATGTCATGAGCATGTCCGATGTTTGAAAATGAGATGCCTACAATTGTGACCAGGTTTTATCGAGGCATGTGAAAGGCATGCATAGCATCATCTCTCCCTAACAAGAAAGCTCCATGAGTGGCAGACAAATTCTAGAATCTAGATTGTGCCTGGGTGGCCGATAAGGTAATTAGTTCTAAAGATAGCAGTGGTAGTATGGGTAGATCAACAAACGGGAGTTGTGTCATATCACATCTAGAGGGTATTATTGCGAAATTAGGTTCCTCTAATGATATTGATCTATAGTTTCCAAATGTTGGGCTTTAGGTCGTTCGTAAGTTGGAACTTTTTAATGTGGTAAGTTTGGATATGCCTCGTTTCAGTGTTTTTGACTCATAGTCACACCAGTTTTATCAAATGCAGCTGCAGAGCATTACGCAGCCACACTAAGATGGAGGGGCCCATGGCCACTCCGCTTCAACCAAGCTGGCGGGCACACGTCATATGCCCACCTAGGCAGCTGCATCAAGGCAAACCCATGTGGGCCTGCAGCTGCATCTTTCGCCCTGCTTCTGGGTAATAATATAGCCTACGAGCAGATTTATGTTGGTCCTTTTTCCAACCCAAGAAATGAGCAATTTATTTATTTATTTATTTTTGGGGGTGGGGGTGGCCTGGTGGGGAGTGGTTGGTGGTTTATAGCCAACCCACTTAGAACCAAAATAATTTGATTCCAAGGGGATTACAATATTAAATCCAATCCATTTAAAATTGAATTTTTTGATTTCGATAGTATGAGCAAACTCATACCATTTTTCAGCAACTCTTCGAAATGATTTCGAGATCTCCTTGGAAGAATTTCAGGTGCACAATATTTACTTAAAGAAAACAAAAAAAAACAGGCACACAATATCAAGTTATCAACTCATCGAGGATTTTGAAGGCGATTGCACCAAGAAATTGAAATTCATTTTGTTTTTCTTTTGGCAGATTTTATTGCTTTTGTTTTTATGTCATTGTTCTTGGTCTTGAAACTTTTTAGTTTTTCACCAAGTACGTAGTATTGGATCATTTTATTTACATGCTAATTATATGAGAGAAAGAAAATATCTGTATTACTCTATCAGAGCCTGAGACAACGTATATACTAAGAGAAAAATACTAAACTAAAATGGCTACTATCATGTAGGTTACATATTTAGTTTCTTCTTCGTACTCTTACAGGATTTTATTTTAAAAATATATATTTGTTACCCACTTAATAACTGATGCACCCTCATCCAGCTACACAGCGCATCAGACCCCCTAGCGCCTCAAGCCGTATCCCACATTTGATAACGTCGAGTTCCACTTTAGAATATTTCTATTTAGGTTGAATTAGATATCTACAAATCAGAAAAAGCTTTGTAGTAATTTCACATTTAGATTTAATTTAATTTTTAGGGCATGAGTGGGTCCAGAATATAAATGATAGGGTCCCATTTGAACAAATGCGCATGTGCAAGAGTACTTTGCAAATTGAAAATTTATTCCAAGGATGTTGTGCTCTCTTTCCTATCTTCTATCACAAAGTACATAATTTCTAAGGATAGGACTTGTTTATATGCTGAAGCGTATGGATTGCATCACTGAGTTAATTGCCATGACTAACTTCTATATTATGATTCTAGCAGGATCCAAAGTTATTCTAAGAGACTGAAACCATAGAAAGCAATATTGCTTTCCAATTCCCTATCAGGTGTGAGAGACTCTATAAGGCACTAGTTTCCAATGCAACATCAAATGACGAGGACAAGCTCATAATTGACAGGAAATTAAGCAATTTACAAGCAGTCACCAAAAATATTGCAATGCCAAATGTATTAGTAGTTATGAACATATCTGTTGCAGTTATGACGGAATAAGAAAACCACATGGATACCCAGACACCACATTAATTTCATACCATAAAGCATGCAATTTGAAAATATTTAGAGTAACATAAAAATAAATTTACCATGGTTCTGTCGGATGCAGATCAACAGATTTTACCCTTTCAGACCTTTGGGCAAGTTTTTTCTGGAAAGAAAAATTTCAACCCACAAAATCCAATAAGTAACCAATTGAACATAAAGGAACAAATCAATAAAAAAAACAGAAAATGAACACTTCAACCAAAAATGGTCCATGATTGAATAATTCAAGCACAAACAACCTATGCAAAATTTGAAGAGAAATTTAAGAAAAAAGGTACCTTGATTTCGAGTCTGAGAGGCTGTTGCAGATAATAAATCAAGAAAGAAGACACAAAAGAGGAGCAATCCGTTAGTCTTCCATCGCAAAACCAGATCCAAATCAATAATCAAATTAAGAAGATCCAACCATTTTTAGACCTGATCAATTCAAATTACACCTAAACATCATATAATTCCTTAACAATGAAGATCATTCTCAGTATAATTGAGTGTAATTTCCACGGATTCCAATAAATCAAACTCCAAAAATGAAGCCTTTCGCCAAATCAGAAGCATTTGCGCGAGATCTAGTCCCATCTTAGAGAAAACAACTTTCTTACAGAGAAATGTTAAACTGATATCGGATATGAGATTGCACTTACCATGGTTGATTCTGAGCCTCTGCAATTGATTAGAGAGAAGTCCGAAAGAGAGAGGAGTAGATCACGGTCCAAAAAACCCTAAAATTGCAGAGTGAAGCTCATATACGCATAGGACGCGCTTTAGTATCTGAAAAATCAGCCGGGTATATAAAAACCAGCCTCAGATCACTCCCTCACAAAATAAAATGAATGAGAGAGAGAGAGAGGCGTTGTTGCTTGGAGTGCTAAAAACTTTGGAGAGACGGCACGAACGCGCTCGTGTCTTGAAAATTGGAGAGAGAGAGAGAGAGAGTTGAAACTTAGTGAGATAGACAACCTTAGTGAGACAGAAATGTACTTAGAGAGAGAGAGATAAATAAATGTACTTAGAGAGAGAGAGAATGAACTTAGAGAGAGAGAGAATGAACTTAGAGAGAGAGAGAGAGAGAGAGAGAGAGAGAAGTAGAGTAGAGAGAGAGAGAGAGAGTAGAGAGAGAGAGTAGAGTAGAGAGAGAGAGAGAGAGAGAAGAGTAGTAGTAGAGAGAGAGAGAGAAGTA